TTGAGTGGCGCCACCGTCGTTGTAATCAAACTGTAGTCGTTAGTTTTAAAACATTAAAAAAAAATATTTCTAATGGTGATTGAACTATGAAACTTTTTATGTAGCGTAATTATGACCTAAATTAGCTGAAAATAACCCTAGAACCCAGAGTAACCTCTCCCTTTAAGGATGCAAAGGTAAAGATAAGATATAGATAAGTTGGGATAAGATATAGATAAGAATAAGGATAAGATATAGATAAGAATAAGGATAAGGATAAGATATAGATAAGGATGCAAATATCAAATACATATGTAGCGCCAGGAACACGACGGAGATACCAGCAGTTGCAGCACACTGACAACATCTGCTGGGTTGGTTAGCTTTCAAAGGTAGTAATAATGTCTTATAACCTATGTAAATACTGACAAACGAGCATTTGCATGGTCCAATCTAGGCTCACTGCCTTTTACTACTGCTACAAGAACAGCGTGGTTATCATAGAACACTAAGCACTAGAATCACAACTTGTCACTAAAATCAATAGGCCCAGCGTATGTATGACCCAATCTAATATGACACAGAGTTCAGAGTATTCCAGTCACTCATTACAGCACAAGGCACAAGTACAGCATCACCCGAGTCATACACACTGCTGACTGTTGACAGTATCGCTCAGTCTGCAGTTCTCATCTCAGAAACACTCTCAACACAAGTCAAAACTAGTAGTTCATTGCAAAACATTCCTCGCAAAGTTACGTCAACTATTTTCGATGAAGCCCCAGAGGCTAACCCAGTGGAACTACTACACCTGGTATGGCTAAATAATACAGGCCTCCCGTTCAAATATATGTCTAACCTCAGCAATGTTGTCATTGTCACTGTCTCCCATGGTCTCCATGATCTCCTGGTCACTGAGGTCCTCATAGCTATCACGGTCCTTCTCATTGCTACTCACGATAGAAATACAATTAATTAGATACAAGCCGAACAACTCCGAAGCTGTTCACCAACAATCAACAATAGTAGTAGTGCCAAAAATCAACAACAACAATCAACAATGCCGAGGTGGAAGAATTAGCACTGGGCAACAACTGTATATGACCGTTATTTATATGACTCGGGTTGTTAACATGGAAGTTTAAGCCGATCGCTTTGACATTGTGGGGGGTTGTGTATCCATAACACATCCATTTATTTCCAGCGTTAAAAAATTGAACAATGACTTGGAACACAAACAAATCAGCAAGGGATAAAATTGAAAATGACATACTTTTACAGGTGCCACGACAACACAACATTTTCAATACATTTCAGAAACTGGTGTCATAGCCAGGGAATGGTATTCTGTGAGACACACACGCAGATGTGCCGCCCACACACAGGCTGTCAAGCACATGCATACCTCGCTCGACTGGACTGGCGTGACACATTGAGAGCCTTGCTCTTCAGCTGCCGTAGCTCCTTCTTTGCTTCATCCAAAATGTTCGTGCCAAGATCTGCTGAACTGCTCATTGATATCGTGTCCACATCAACGTAGGAACCTACATACAAATCACACAATGACGGGGACATCTGCAGGTCTTAGTGTTCCAAAAAGTGACCGCAAATTCAAAATTTTTAACAACATCACATTAGGGTTCATATTGTTCCACCAAGTTGAACGTTTTCCCCACAATAACATACGCAATACCGCACTACAATAAATGCCTCCATGGGGATGAAGCAGCAAGATTCTCCAACGGTATTTTAGGATGAACATTAACACAGCCAGAGATGCACGTGCCTAGTTACGCACGCACGCACGCACGCACGCACGCACGCACACACACACACACACATATATATAGAGAGAGAGCAAGATAGAGAGATAGAGAGCGAGAGAGCGAGAGAGCGAGAGAGAGAGAGAGAGAGAGAGAGAGAGAGAGAGAGAGAGAGAGAGAG